TGCACTTCATATTCCGGCAGCAGGTAAAACCAGTTACTGTTTTATTTATTTTTTTAATGAAATCAATCAGTATAACCAAATTCTATTTTTCAGCTTACTACATTGTGATAGTTGCCTTTGGCTTAGTGGACGGGCTGATGTTGCTGATCATTGCTGGCCTGATTGTCGAGGCACTGGTGGGCACGCTGGGCACACACCTCTACGCTGCTTTCATCTCAAACTTCATTCACAAAAGTGGCGCTCTACTGCTTCAGTTTAGCGCAAGAAGTAGCGTTATCACTAACAAGCGGTGTCTTCCAATAAGACTGCAGCTGACCGTTTGGACGCACATCAATCGACTGGTGGTCGACAAAAGGTACGGCATCAATTATGGCGGTAAGTGTTTGTTTTTGTGTGACCTTTGCCTTTACTAAAGATGCTTTCGTTTTATAGCTCTTGATATACTTGTAACTAGAACTTCTTTTCTCAAAGTATGTACTTGTGAAAAGTATTTTCACTATTCTAAATAATTTTTCCTACTTCAAACATTTAACAGTGCTTGTTTCTGTATATGGAATGCCTTATGTACGCCTACACTTGGGTCAAATCATAAACTTTTTTGCATCTCAATTTCAAACAATTTCAAACCCGTTTTTGCTGTTGAAAACAACAATTTTAAATATTGCTACATAAACCAAAAATCAACAGGCAGCAAATTCTGCAAACAAACAAAAGCAGCAAAATGTGAAACGGTGAGGAGTGTGTGTGAGTGTNCAACAGGCAGCAAATTCTGCAAACAAACAAAAGCAGCAAAATGTGAAACGGTGAGGAGTGTGTGTGAGTGTTCATCTGTTGTTCAATCAGTGGCCGATCCATTGGCGGCAGTGTCCAGGTGAATGACACGCAAGCGCTGGTTGTCGGCGAGGATGAAGCCGCAGAGGTTGTTGTTGCCGCAGTAGTGGGACGTACTAGGGAAAGTGATCAAAATGTGATTAGAGAAAGTAACCACTTTTTTGTTGTGACCCCTTTGTGTACGACAAACCTGAAAATGGTGACGCATTTGTTGATAAAGTGAAAGACGTAGCCAGGCTGCAGAAAAAAGTAAAAAATGGCTCACAATCTCATTTCAAAAGCAATAAAACCTACCGGTGCCACCTCATGAGCGCGAATGATGTGCGTCAGGCCGTTGGCCTTCAAAAAGCTGTCTGCCCCGGCCTCATTGAACTTGAAGGCAGTGCCGCGTTTGGTGTTGAAGACGAAACCGCCAGAAGTCTTTGGATCCACCCCTTTCTGCTCGCAGGTGTCCACAAACTCCTGCTCATTCGCCGGATCGGACCAGAGGATCTCCCAGGCGATGTCCGACTCCTTCTCGGGGTTGCGAATGTCTCGCTTCACCTCGACGATCTGCTCGACAGTTTTTGCCGATTTGGGCAGGCCGCCGTGGGCGCAGTAGATGGCGTCGTCGACCAGGCCGCAGACGGGCAGCTGGTCGTAGATGCGGTTTGTGAGCTCCCAGACCTTTAGGCCCATCTCCTCGCCGTACTTTTGCACGCACTCTTTTAGGTAGCTGTAGTGCTTCTGCGTGGTGCGCTCCTCGTGGTTGCCCCGCAGCATGGTGATCCGATTGGGGGCGAGCAGCTTCAGCGCGGCAATGTACAGCGTGCACTCTAGCGACCAGACGCCGCGGTCGACGTAGTCGCCCAGAAAGAGACACCCGGCGCCCATCACCGGCGCCAGCGGCCAAAGGGTGCGCTCCATCTGCAGCAGGTCCTGGTGAAAATGGTAATGGGAATTATTAGGCAAACTGGTAATTGACAATAATTAAATTGTCCTTGCCTCGATGTTGCCGTGAATGTCACTGGAGAGGGTGAAAAGAAGTTAAAAAATAGAAAAATGAAGTTCAACCCTTACCCGATGACGTAGCAGGGCGAGTATGCCTTCTGGCACTTGGTCTCCGCCTCGAGGAGGATCAGTAGGTCTCGGTAGAGGCGGAGGATCAACTTCCAAAAGTCCTCCTTGCGGTCGCCCATCAGCAGCGCCTTCGGCTCCGCCACCGTGCCCTTCGCCTTGGCCAGCTGGCGAATGAGGCGCAGCATGACGTTGCCCACAGAGTACGGACGAAAGACCACTTCGGCGGAGTACTGCCCCGCCGTCGGACCACCTTCTCCCTTGCCCTTGGCCGGCGGCTTTACGGCGGCCAGTCGCTTGGGCGTCACCTTCCCGCTCAGATCGACCGTCACCAGGTGGGCGGCAAGTTCAAACTTTTTCTCCACACAGGTGGGGCAGACGCCCTTGTGGGCTCGTTTGGGGAGGACGTTGGCCAACGCGGCCGCCACACTGCCTCCGCCCTTCTTCGCCGTGTCGTACCGCTTCAAGTGCTGCATCGCCAGGGCGCGACTGATCTCCGCAAAGATCGGCTTCGGCAGGCGACACAGCTTCCCAGCCGCCTCACTCTTGCCCACCGCCGCGGCAAAGTCTTTCTCGGATGCTTCGCCCACCGTTTTACCCAGCTCGGCGCCCCCGTCGCCCAAGTCGGCTACCAGCGCCTTCACCTTCTCCTCGTTCAGCTTCCCGGCCCCGTCGGCGTCGTAGTAGCGAAAGATCAGTTTTGCCCGGTGCTCGCCTTGTTTTGCGGCCGGCTCCATTGCCGCCAGGCCCAGCAGCAGCTCGTGAAAGGAGAGGTAGCCGTTGCGGGCGGCGTTGAAGGC